GACCGACTGGATTTGAAACTCGGGACCCCTCATCTACCAATCCGACACTTAGTCTGCACGACCACGACGGCTCCTCTCTGTTAGCAGTTTATATTCCGAATCTCTTTCATGACCGCTTACTCGTCTAATTCGTCTAATTCTTACAATACTTAGAAAGCGCACGAAACTAAAATGGAACGATAGCCGCAGTACACTTCCATTACGTCATAACATGAGCATTCGGAGTGGATAAAAGAACGCACCCTGGAATAAATTTCGGAACGGCATTACAGTACTAGCGATGAGTTACGGAACACAGCCTGAGTTTGTATCACTAGTTTCCAGGGATTTCGATTAGTTTCGATGATTCCATGAAAAAAGCCGGAATAATTATTCTCAGGTTTTTTCTTTGATAATATTGATACTTTTCAATTATCTTCGGGTCCCTCAAGTCCCTTTGAGAGTCTCGAAAATTTACCCAGGCTTGATAACTTTAGCAGAATCTTGTTGGTGATCCAATATATCGGAACGTAGCCTATCGTCGATGGTTAATGCCACGTATATCCGGTGGACCAACACGTTTCGCGCGATATAGTAATTCGATCGTTAATTTACAGTGGTCGCTGATGTATTAATCGAGTGTTTTTGATTATGTTGAACTTTTGCACAGCATATTGAAGCTCCAGTCCACAATGAAGTACAAGCTTTACGTCGCGTTACTAGTTTTTTCTTTTCTAAGCTATGTCGCCTGTCAATACAGAACGAAAAATGTAAGAACTTCTTTGAGATCTCTTTTATTCATCAGTTTCATTATTTATATTAGTATGCTATTATTCGTTTTTTTCTTTGTAGAATCAAGGTACTTCGTTGGCGGAACGTGTACAACAATTAACAGAAATGGCCATGAAAAAATCGGTATTGAAATTCAACGGATCAAAATTTAAACAATACATTAAAGCTCCTCCGAGAAATTATTCTGTTATAGTTATGTTTACTGCTATGGCACCTCAGAGACAATGCCAAATTTGCCGGTGAGTTGACATGTATATATAAATGACTTTAGTACATAAAATGTCAGCTACCTGCCAACAAACCATCAGCAAATTCGAGCAATATACATATATGCATATATAGTAAATTTTAAGAATATTCTTAAAGTATTGTATATCAAATAAAAGTATATTGTGATTCTTATATTCTTAATATTAACTCTAATGATCATTTTTTTATGTATTGCAAAGACATTTATGTTTTATATCCAGTACAAAATAATGCAAACAATCTGTGATTATACAATAGATTATATTGAAATCTTGATAAATTTTACAAGCAAGAAATGGATACTACTAAGTAACAAGCTTGTAATTATATTCGGAGATAGTATAGACTCTGTTGGATTTTTGCTAACAAATCTGCTTTCAGATTATATCAAAGATCAGATTCTGTTTCGATTTTTGCCAATGATTTAATGTCAAATTATGTCAAATTTTATCTAATTTCTGTCCACATCTATTGTCAGATCATGTCATAATAAGCTATACTTTGTTTTTACTCATAATTTTATATAGATTATGTTAGTAGGTTCAGTATAGTTCTGTCAACAATCAAATATCAAAATGTACTATATCTTTGTTGTTGTTTTTTTAATGTTAGTTTATTATTGCAATCTGTTAGTAGATTTTTTTCATATTTCTTTCAATATTCTGCATATTATAACAACGTTATAATATGTGTTTAATCTTATTAATGCTGATATTCTGATGATATATAATGTTTTGCAAAATCTGTTTTTGACAAACTTGATTATCTAAAGCTATGTTTAGAAAACATGACAATTGTACATTTGTTATTTGAACATTTACTATTACTGATATTTCTCTATATAGATCTAAACAGCATAAGTAATGATACTGAGTCATTCAACCATTGTATTTTTAGCCAATCTATTTTGTAACTCTTAATTCCTATTATTATTTTTAAGTCGTCTTTGTGTAAATATATGATCGAAAAGCTGTGCATAATGACATTATAATGATTATAATATTGTCATTAAGAATTATATGTGCAAGAAAGGGTTGCTACTAAGTAGCAATCTTGTAATTATATTCAGTGACAATGTAGACTCTACTGAGTTTTTGTTGACAAATTGTTTTTAGATTGTATCAAAGATCATAAAAGAAACTCTCATAAAAGAGAACGCCATATAATAAGTCACGTATAAAAAGAATCTGTAAACATGTTTAATAATTTTATTAATGTAATTTTAGACATGCCAATGATGAATTTACAATAGTGGCGAACTCCTTCCGATATTCTCCATTATATTCCAACAAGTTATTCTTTGTCTCTATTGACTTTGACGAAGGATCAGATGTTTTTCGATTGGTAAGTAGAACATAAAAGAATACAAGAGAATATGATTAATACAAAAGTTTTTGTTTATCCCAGATGAAGTTAAATACTGCACCAGTATATATGCATTTTCCACCCAAAGGAAAGCCAAAAGCTGCTGATACTATGGATATCCAGCGAGTAGGATTTGGTGCTGAGGCAATAGCAAAATGGATTGGCGAACGCGCAGATATTCAGGTAATGCTGAAAATATACTATTGTATTCATTCTATTAAAGCTATGCTGATATTCATATAATGCATATTTTTATTTATTTGATTACATTTTTTAAGATATACTTTTGTTGTTATAGATTAGAGTATTTAGACCACCAAATTATTCTGGTACAGTGGGATTAGGAATGCTTGTGGTAATTATAGGAGGTGGCCTGTATCTCAGGCGTAATAATTTAGACTTTATTTATAACAAAAAGCTGTGGGGATTTTGTGCTTTGGTAAGTATATTTTAATATTTTATTGTGACAAAAATATTCTTAATATTGCTTAATTTCAGTTTTTCACCATAAATATGACCTCTGGACAAATGTGGAACCATATCAGAGGACCACCTTTTGTCCATAAATCACCAAATGGCAATACAGCTTTCATTCATGGATCTTCTCAAGGGCAATTTATAATGGAAACCTATATTGTTATGGTTATTAGTATCCTTTTAGAAATATTTCATATAAAAAATAATCTATATAAAACATAGAAAAATCAGGTTTATACATTTAATATTGATAACCTTAATTACATATAAAAAGATGGAGCAGTGGTATTAG